GCCTCAGCCTCCCAAGTAGCTGAGACCACAGGCGCCTGCCACAACACCCAGCTATTCTTTGGTGGCAGCCGTCATTGTTGTTTGGCGGGCCCGGGCTGGATTTGAACCTGCCACCTTAGGTGTATGTGGCTAGCACCTTAGTCACTTGAGCCACAGGCGCTTAGCCGAGAGTGGTAACTTTCAGGACTGTGCCACCCAGTGTCTGGACTATAACCTGGGCTCAATAGGTATGCCTGGGCCCAGGACTCTAATGGGCTCCCATGGCCAGCAAGGCCCAAGGGTAATAATCCTGAGCCTGGCCTGTAGCCATCCCAGCTATGACCAGCAGATGGCTGTATGTTCACACAGATGTCACCACAGGCCGCCTCAGTATGGGACCTAATTTGTCTATTGTGTTCATAGTGGTGGGGACCCGGAAATCAGAAGGCCTTGGGGTGTTTCACTAGGGATTAGCCCCTCCTACTTAACCTAAGGTAAGAGTGTTACCCCAAATTGTTTAGAATATCTGGGCTCAGCGCCTGTGGCTCAATACAGCTAGGGCGCCAGCCACATACACCTAAGGTGGTGGGTTCAAATCCAGCCTGGGCCTGCCAAACAACAATAATGGCTGCAACCAAAAAATAGCTGGGCGTTGTGGCAGGAGCCTGTGGTCCCAGCTGCTTGGGAGGCTGAGACAGGAGACTCACTTGAGCCCAGGAGTTGGAGGTTGCTGTGAGCAGTGAAGCCATGGCACTCTACCCGGGAGGACAGCTTCAGACTCTGTCTCAAAAAAAAAAAAAAGAGAATATCTGGGCGGCACCTGCGGCTCAAGGAGTAGGGTGCTGGCCCCATATACCAGAGGTGGCTTGTTCAAACCTGACCCTGGCCAAAAAACTGCAAAAAAACAAAAAGATCTGTCCTAGTCCCCACATTGCCACCTGACCCCAAATGAGGTCATAGCCTAGGGTCCATGGACCTCAAAGCCTGGCCTTAATGGACAACAGCCAGATAGGTGTCACCATGCCCCTGGACTATTGCCAGACTCTGCAGCCCACCTTACCTGCTCCTCTTGAGTCTTGCCTGTGGACACCACAGGAGATTGAGATTAGAACTATTCCAGCAGGCTCAGCGCCTATAGCTCAACCGGCTAAGGCGCCAGCCACGTACACCTAAGGTGGCGGGTTTGAATCCCCAGCCCGGACCCGCCAAACAACAATGATGGCTGCAACCAAAAAATAGCCGGGTGTTGTGGTGGGCGCCTGTGGTCCCAGCTACTTGGGAGGCGGAGGCAGCAGACTCGCTTGAGCCCAGGAGTTGGAGGTTGCTGTGAGCTGTAATGCCACGGCACTCTGCCCAGGGGGATAGCTTGAGGCTCTGTCTCAAAAAAAAAAAAAAAAAAGAACTATTCCAGCAAACAAGACTCAGCACCCTCACCCCACCACCCCCAAACACTTTGCTCTCTGCTGTGCCTGCACTCCTTAGGAGCTCCTAGGAGACAGATTCTCTGCCTTTGGCTATCAGCTCAATTCCCAGTCAGGGAAAAGGTAGTTCAGGGATAGGCTTCTGAGTCTAGAAAGTTGGCCTGCCAGTCTTTCTGAGGCTTGAACTTAAGTCCAAAGCAGGATCACCCTGTCCAGCCTGGACTTGTAGTTCTATGGGGCACTTCCCCATCCCCCCCTTAAGATGTCATGCATAAGGCTCTGTCATCCTCCACTATCCCCCCTACTGGTGTTCACTCTCCCTTGCCAGATGGCATCCAGTCTTCCACCACCACTATCCTAGCCTAGGGAAACTCCCTGTGGTGGACCTGCCCAGCTGACCCCAAAGCTGAAAACAATAGGAGTCAGGGCAGTACTTCCTCACTCCCACTGGGCTGTGCTCATTTCCTTCCTGCTGGCTGCCACAGGAAGTGTCCCTGCCCTGGGACAGTCTGGCCTGGCCTTTGTTTCCCCAGGGGTCCCCACCCTTGGAGCTTCTAAAGCCTTTGGCCTTTGCTAAAGCCAGCATAGTGGTACAAGGACATTGCACTTTCCCCTGCTATGTCCTGGACCCCTTGATCTCAGGGCCAGACTCCAGGGTATGCACCCACCTCCCCTACTCCACCACACAGCCTTCTGTTAGGAGAGAGGCCCCTTGGGATCAGAGAGGAGGGCCAATGGGTTGTTGAGGGATAGACTCAGGGTGATTTGAGGGTAGGCAGATTGGTTCCCATCTCTAGAGAGTTCTGCTGGATCTCTGTGGCAATCTTCCTTGGGGCTAGTCATATTATGAGCACTCCTCCTATAGGAACACACACTTTTTCCTCATGTTGCAAGGAGCCTGCCCCTATTCTGTGCACTGAACTCAGTGAAATTCACTCACAAATATCCTCAGCAGATCATTCTGCAGAACTTTCTCAGCCCCTGTCTCACCATCCCCCATCCAACAGTCACACTTAGCAACACATTGTCCTCTCTGTCACATGGGATGTTTCTGCTCTTGGTGGAAAAATGGGCTCAGTTCCTGGAAGTCCCTTTAACCCTCCCCCCAAGGGCTGGTTCTCTTCTTTGCCACCTGCTTTGGGGGCCCATCAGCTGACTCCCCCCCAAGTAGTTTGACTTCCCAAAGTACTTCACCTGGGCCTCTCCTCTCACATCCTATTGTTTTTGAGGATGGGCCCCAACCCCAAGGGAAGGTTGAAGAGAGGAGGTTCTGGCTCGGCGCCTGTGGCTCAAGCGGCTAAGGCGCCAGCCACATACACCTAAGGCG